AGTAGTGAAGGATAGCTCCATAATTCCAGAAGATGATGAAGAGATCCTGAAGGACGGGGACGTCCAGGAAAGTGAAGCTGGCAAAGAAGCAGAAGGTCTTCAAGCCGAGGTCGAACAGGTTCCAGGCGAGACAGAGGTCGAGGTTGGGAAGGGCGATGAAGCCGAGAAGGATGATGAAGTTGAGAAGGGGAACGAAGTCGAGAAGTAGATGATGATGCCCGGGACTTAGATGCCGTTGATTGTTTTTGCCTTTAGCATTTTTCCTTTTTTAGATGTGGACCATCACGTTGGCACATCTTTTTGCATTTTTCTTTCAGTTTGTATTGGACATCCCTTTCACGAAATGAAATGAATATTTTCTCTTCCAACGTTCTGCTCTCTCATATTTATCTGTAACCTCGAATTATGTTAGTTTATATATGCTTCGAAATTTCTTAAATCATTTCCCGACTTAGAATACTTTCAGTTCGAAAAAACTGATTTTGAGTATTTTAAGTAAAAGGCTGATTCATAAGACGAGCTCAAATATCTAAAGGTATTTGAGATCACCATTAAAAGAACGTAAATTTGCGAAAACCAATGTAAAATATTCGACCTTTCTGTAATTCGTTGAAAAATCGACTTTAAAACAATTGGTTTCTTCTGTAGAATGTCGACTGAAAAGTCGAATTAAGATATTTTGAACCATTTCGTAAGATGTCAATTTAAAAAACCGACTTAGGTTACTTGATTTTTTCGTAGAACGTCAACTGAAAAGTTGATTTATACAGAACGTCGGTTGAGAAGCCGACTTAAGATACTTGGTCTTTTTTACAAAATGCCAGCTGAAAAGTTGGCTCATACAGAATGTCAGTTGAAAAACCGACTTAAGACACTTGGTCTTTTTTACAAAACGCCAACTGAAAAGTTGACTTATACAGAACGTCGGCTGAAAAGCCGACTTAAGACGCTTGGTCTCTTTTCAGAACGTCAACTGAAAAGTTGACTTTATTGGTAGAACTTTTTCAGATACTGTACATTCCACGGATACCGATGTGGTGTTCCGTCCAAGTATTCTATCTGATAGGCCCCATTGGTTAGAACTTCGCTTATTCGAAAGGGACCTTCCCACTTCGGTTTTAATGGGCCAGGGTCGAGACCCAGAATTCGTTTGAGTACGAGATCACCGACTTTGAATGTTCGAAGACGAAGTTTGGAGTTAACGTACTTTTCGCTTCTTCGTTTGTAAGCAGCATTTTTGATGTCGGCCTGAGCACGTAATTCATCTACTAAGTCAAGACTGGCTCTCATATTGACCTGATTGTGTTCCTCTTCAAAATTTTGCACGCGGTATGTCGGAGATCCGAGTTCGACTGGAATCATTGCTTCTGACCCATAAGCCAATGAAAAAGGAGTTTCACCGGTTGAGGATCGAGCAGTAGTTCGGTATGACCAAAGAACGTTGGGGAGTTCTTCGGGCCAAGCTCCTTTTGCACTGTCTAGTCGGATTTTGAGGCCATTTTTTATGATCTAGTCAGTGCAAAAGGGTAAGTCGTGTAAGTGATAATATATTTAAATATAACTAATAATATATTTAAAGAATAGAAGATGGTAAGTCGTGTAAGTGACGATATAACTAATAATATATTTTTCAAATATATTTTTATTTAAAGAATAAATATATTATTTCAAATATATTATTACTAGATCATAAATATATTTTGCACTGTCTATATTATTAAAGAAATCTATTTAAATATAACTAATAATATATTTTTCAAAAGAATAGAAGATGGTAAGTCGTGTAAGTGATAATATATTTAAATATAACTAATAATATATTTAAAGATATTATATTTAAATATATTTAAAGATATTATATTTAAAAATCTATTTAAATATAACTAATAATATATTTAAATATAACTAATAATATATTTAAAGATATTATAGAATAGAAGATGGTAAGTCGTGTAAGTGACGATATCTATTTAAATATAACTAATAATATATTTTTCAAAAGAGTATTTAAAAACTAAAATTTTTTTTGTTATTTTTATTTAATTTTAAATATAATTTTCTTAACAAGTACCCTTGTAGTATTGTACTAGTACAATATTATTAAAATAAGACATTATCCTTTTAATTTAGTTTTTCCTCAACTCGTATAGTTTAAGGATATTAATATTTACCATCAAATAAGGATGTTTAAATACTTGTAAATTTTTAACTATCCATGTTATGATTTTATATTTATTATTCTTATATTAAATCTATATTTTTATATAATTCACAGTCGTAAAATTATTTTATAATTGTACCATTTTTTCCATCTCTCTTGTCAAGCAATGTTTTTTAAAAA